AGGTTCGGCGACATTCCCCGGGGATCTCTCGTAAAAACTGCACATGTAAATTGAATGGTGCATCTGAGAAATGACTTCTATTCGGATGAGACTTAAAACTGGAGAGAATTCCAGAAACCCAATTCACCCGTATTGGACAGACATAATAGGGCACCCGATATTACAAGAAACCTGCGTTGTGTGTTCCCCACTACTCAAAACAAGAAAGGACAACACACACGATCACCTACCTTCACTTCCCTATTACAGATCCAGGCACATCCGGGGTAGCTCCTCCGCCTGCCCCGGGAACTAACAGTGTACCTACACTGGGCTTTTTTCTCCTGTCGACAAACAAGCCTTGGACTTAAATCGTTCATTACCAATAAACGCACAGTGTATAGGTGACTTTTCTTTTTAAGTCCCTGCCATCGCGTCGTATGTTCTTTTACTTGTTACTTTAGGTCAGATGGTACTAGTGAAATATGGCTTTTTTTTTTTTTTTTGCTTCTACTGTCTTCACTGAAAGTAATACGTCTGGAATTTCATAGTAGGTATTTTACGACTTTCAGGAGCCGCTGTAATAGCATAATGAAGCTTGCCTGTCAGCAAAATTGTCGTTTGTTTGATTCCGTATCGTGGCAGATTTTTTTTTAAATGATTGACCTAAGGTTACTTGGTCCAGCATCGGCGACAGGGTCGCCTATTGGCTGGTCGTGACAGTATTTGGGTTTGTCTATTCTGGTGGCATCAACACTGCAAGAGTCACTTTCAGGTCTACTTGGTGGCGAGCAATGGTAAGCCATTTTAAATGGCACTCATAAACTTACTCACAGTTATAACCAAAATGCTCCCCCTTGGAGGAATGCTGGTTAAACTTGACTTTTTTGTTGTTGTTGCAATTTTTGTTTTTAACAAAGCAAGCAAGCTACCAAGATACCTCGTCGAACAAACCTAAGATGGGTACCAGAAAATATACAGAGAAATATAAGCGGCTGTATTGATGTTCTAAATGATTAAGAAATTGAAAATGACACAAACTTTGAATATCTAGGCTCTATAAGAAACAACAATGGAGACTCTTCGACAGAAATTAAAAGAAGGATGGTCATAGCAATGCAAAGATTGAACAGCCTTAAAAGTCTATGGTTAAGCACCAGCAAGGAGATAAAAATTAGAATTTTGAGAGCATGCATCTTCCCTGTAGCTACATACGGATGTGAGTTGTGGACTATCTCTCAGTCCTTAAGAAATAGAATAGGGGCTTTTGAGCTGAAATGCTATAGAAAGATTCTCAGAATATCTTGTATAAAGAAGATGAGAAATATTGACATCTTAAAAGATCTGGACATCAAGGAAGATTGGCTAATAAACATCATCCTTTCTCGAAAGCAGAAATATTTTGGTCATATCAAGCGCCACGACGGATTGGAAAAAGTTATAACAGAAGGCATAGTACCAGGAAGGAGGGGCAGGGGCCGACCGACATGAAGATGGGCACAGGATATAAGTGACTCCTTGAGTGTGAAAGTGCATGAGGCGGGAGAACTGGCAAGAGACCGAGTTTCTTTCAGACAGACTGTGATGAAAGAGACGTTTTGCAAAGGATCTTCTACATTATGATGATGATGTATTGATGTTCGTCTATCATTAATCTAGTGCCAATTGGTCATGACTGCACACGATAGAACGGAATAAGGGAGTCAACTGTGTGTCATGAAGTATAAGTAAACTGAACTGGAATTATGATGATGCTAATGATGATAAATAATGACGATATTAATGACGATGATGACAATGATGCTTATGATGAGGATGATGATAATGAGGATGAGTATGATGATGATGATGTTGATGATGATGATGATGATGAAGACGACAATGATGATTATGATGAGGATGATGATGATAATAACGATGATGACAATGATGCTGATGATGAGGATGATGATGATGAGGATGAGTATGATGATGATGATGATGATGATGATGATGACGACAATGATGCTGATGATGAGGATGATGATGATAATGAGGATGATGACAATGATGCTGATGATGAGGATGATGAGGATGGATGATGATGATGATGATGATGATGTTGATGATGATGAGGATGCTGATGACTAGGATGATGATGATGAGGATGATGATGATAATGAGGATGACGACAATGATGTTGATAATGAGAATGATATGATGATGGTGATGAAGATGAAGATGATGATGATGATGACTATGACGACAAAGAAGTTTGTGATAAAATAATTTGATACAAATGCATTGTGGTTTCCATATAAGTATCAGATGAACTGACACGTAACTGTTTATGGCATATTAAGGTGTCGTCCTATGTACGTCCTAACATAATTTCAGTCACGGAAAAGCAGGAATCACTTACCGTTGGTTGGTCGGACGGCTGTGGACAAGGAGGTCTGCTGCCAAAACAGTTGACGCATGCTCCCTGGGTTGTACAGAAGTAATGGATAATGTTAAATATGCGGCGTTCACTTCACGTTTTGGGGATTTGAAGCTTTAACATTCTCATTCTACTTCCTTCTCTACCTCCGTCTCCACCTCTTCACCCTTCAATTCCCCTTCCCTTTCTTTCATAAACATCTTTTCCTCCTTTTTGTTCTTCTTCTCCTTCTTCTTCTTCTTTTTCTTTTCCTTTTGCCATAATGATAACAAATAGTTTTCGTTAAACGTTTTCTAGAACAGTATCATCAAAAGTACATGCTGCAGGAGATCGCAGATTAGGGAGAGGCATGATCGCCCATGCCAGTCGGCAAGGCACTTGATGATGATGATCATCATCATCATTAAAAGGTCACTAAGTAACATTTGCAGCCAATCAACCGTGAATGAGTAATCAAAAACACACATTTAGAAATGATAGTAAAGTTAATGTTGGGTTTTATCCCACATAGCTCGGTATTTCTCTGCCGAAATTGTCGCGCAAGGCACGAACACCTTAGTTTCGTAACGACCACAGAGATCTCTGTAAAAATTGTACTCTTGAACCGAACGATGTAGGACCTTTGGAAACGCAGGGCAAACGGCTTGACCACCTGGCCACGGAGACCACACTCTGACTGAGATATCAGGGGTTGCATGGATGTTGAAAGTCAGCAACTGAATTGAAATAAAAGGGGGAGCGGGGAGAGATTGCAGATAGGTTAACAGCTAAGCTAGGTTTGTGACAGCAAGTTTCCATGGACTGTACTGTAAGAAGGTTGAAGTCGGGAAGGGAGTTAGAATAAAAGAGAAAATGACCGTAGATAGGTTCAGAGTTGAGCGTCTAAGAAAAAGCTCATTAAGTACATGCAATAGTAACACTGGTTCTGAAATCCCATGTTCTAATTGTAAAAGACATTTCTGAACATGAGCGGGTCTTGCTAGTCACACATGCAATCGCCACTGTCCGTAATTCCCATGCCTCCGCAGGTATAGCTCAACATAACACTATTGTCTGAAAAGACAAAAGATATTCGTCAGGATAGCATGGATGTTTGTGTTTATACTATAATATTGGGAGGTGTTGTGGTGTCGCAGCTAGTCGCTCCCCTGCAGATCAGAAGGTTATTTGTTCAGGACCATCAGAAGTTCATGGGTTCAGGACCTGACAGAAGGTTATGGGTTCAGGACCTGTCAGAAGGTCATGGGTTCAGGACCCTCAGAAAGTCATGGGTTTAGGTCCTGACAGAAGGTTATGGGTTCATGACCCTCAGAAGGTCATGGGTTCAAGTCCTGATAGAAGGTTATGGGTTCAGGACCTGACAGAAGGTTATGGGTTCAGAACCTGACAGAAGGTTATGGGTTCAGGACCCTCAGAAGGTCATGGGTTCAGGTCCTGACAGAATTTTATGGGTTCAGGACCATCAGAAAGTCATGGGTTCAGGTCCTGGCAGAAGGTTCTGGGTTTAGGACCTGACAGAAGGTTATGGGTTCAGGACCTGACAGAAAATCATGGGTTCAGGACCTGACAGAATGTTATTGGTTCAGGACCATCAGAAGGTCATTGGTTCAGGTCCTGACAGAAGGTTATGGGTTCAGGACCTGGCAGAAAATCATGGCTTGAGGACCATCAGAAGGTCATGGGTTCAGGTCCTGACAGAAGGTTATGGGTGCAGGACCATCAGAAGGTCATGGGTTCAGGTCCTGACAGATTCTTTTTTCTAAAATGACTTTGGCTTCCAGGTTGACCCAGCCTTAAAAATGTATCAGGTAAAAGTCACAGGAAGTGCCGATTGGTCTATAAAATATAAGCCAAATACGCCTGAAGGTGTGGATAATTGTTCTTTTAACTATAACATTGCCAGTTATGTTTGTCATGATAACTGTAACTGCCAATTAAACTGGTAATGATAAATGTACTGTTACCAAGAATGTTGTGCTCCCTAATTAACATTAAGTAAGGATATTAGTAATATTAGTTATAATATTAAACTAACTGATCTAACTGATATTAGTCATCCTACTTATAACTCTATCCTTACCTAACATTAATAGGTATATTGGTCTTCCTAATTATAACATTATCATAACCTAACATAAATAGAGATTTAAGTCTACCTAATTATAACAATATCCTAACCTAAAATTTTAGGGATATTACTCTTCCTAATTATAACATTATACTAACCTAACATTAATAGGGATATTATTCTTCCTAATTATAACATTATCCTAACCTATTATTATCAATATATGTGATCAGTCAGCAAATCATTTCCATAACATTACGCTCGTCACAGTAAGCCTCAAAGTCTATGTCTCTAGCCAATTCTCCAGCCCTATGTGCTTTTACAGCCAATGCATCTTCAATGTCTTGCATCCACATTCGCGGAAAACTGCCTCTGCCTCGTTTTCCAAAAACGGTACCCTCCATAACCGTTTTCTCCAAGGAAATGAGCCACCTTAAATATAACATTCCCTAGGACATTAGTCATGACAACTGTAACATTGTCAAGAAATCTTAACATACTAAGTATATTTTACCACAAACACTGTTTTGTTACCTTAATTTCTTTCATCAGGACCTCTGGGCACATGTTAGGTAAGATCGGATCATAGAAGGGTGGCACAATGATGCTCTCGATGTGGTGGTAGAAGCCAGTGCTGCAGGGGATATTCACCTGCGACACACCGACTTTACCCTCAAGCAAAATCTGGCCCTGTACCACAAGCAACATATGTTTACGTTTGTGAGAATCTGTTTTCGGGAGATGGTGAATATTGTATAAAATGTTTCTGTTAATGAGGTTGAGAATTAGAATTGAATGTTGAATTAAAAATCGACATTTTGGCACTCGGGACATCTCCATAACAGATCCGTCCCCATCTTCAGCAGCAAGCAAAGAGTTCCTATTCCGATAGTACCAGTAACTGTCTGATTGTATATCCGTCTCGCCTTTCCCCTGAGTGTCGAGCATCGGCCAGATCCATTTGTAACTTCTCGCAGTGCCATTCTCCTCAGACCGTAATGATCGATCTTTTCCTCGGCACTGTTCACTCGCTCCCAAAGAGCCCTCACAAGATCCAGCCTGTCATACAACAGGTCATCAGCAAGTGGTGCAGAACCGACGCGTCAATCTGCCTGCTCATTTCTCAACACACTGGCATGACCTGGATAAAATATCCAAAAGATACTGGTAATATCCAAATTTTCAGAATCTCTCCCAACATTGACTGTAAGGAGAATGATAATTCTACAGAACTACATAAATTCTATCTTGATATGTGGAAGCTTCGTGGACGATTGGCCGATTAGAGAAAAAGTATCTGAAAGCAGCAGAGGTGTGGTTTTATAGACGAATGATGAGAATACCCTGGATAGAAACAAATGGTAATGAGGATGTCATGAAAGAAAGTGACTCAAGAACAGAACTAACTGCCCACATCAGAAGGAGACAGTCTCCATTCTTTGGTAACATCATGTGATTGAGAACACTAGTGAACATCATGACGCTGGGAAAGCTATTGAGAAAATAGGCAGAGGAATACAGAGAGAGAAGATGCTGGACAGTTTGACATCATGGCATGGAGGATCGTCTGTATCTGAAAGGACTGGAAGTACGCGAGACAGAAGGTTGTGGATTGACACGACAACCAACGTCATACTGCATGGTTTATAAAAATTATCGGGAAATTCACATTATTGACACGTTCTATATCAGATATTACTAAACCTAGAAACTGTATCATAGTGGTTCCATAGTGTCAGACTGTCGACACTGTGGTAAATGTTTAGCGAATGTCTTCTTTGGTTCAAAGTTTGTCATTTTTTTTTTAAAGAATGTCTCACGTTTGTTTTCTCAAGCAAAGCTATACGATTCAATTAATGTCTCATTAATGTAATAATCGACAAATCTATTTGACTGAAATAGTGTCTCTTGAGTGTAAAGATTTGATACCATTATTGTCTCCATAATATAAAGATAGGCAATGATATTTAACTGAATTAATGCCTCTATAGTGTGAAGATGAGCAAATATATTTGATTCAGTTATTGTCTCCCTAATGTAAAGATAAGCAATGGTATTTGAATTAATTACTGTCTTTTTTTTTTTTTTTTTTAGATGTTTTTGAAGACGTTAATAACACGTATTCTTCGAATTCATTCATCGACTATTCTTTTATGAAAATCGTAAAAAACTGCAAAGTCTGTGTGGTCTAAAATGTCGTATTTCTCACTCACCCCTGCCGGAATGTCTTGCGCTATTTTGTCTGATTTCCCAAAGTTGTCTGTGATAAAGTTCCATTTCTCTAGACACTTTAAGGAGATCATTTCTGTGTTCCAGATCCTGCTCTCTCAGTTCCTTGAGTTTGTCTGTGATAAATTTTTTAGCCATCTCAAAATCTGTCATAGTCTCCGAGGTATTTGTCTTTTCGTTTGATTCGATAAGGTTGTTTTTTTTTTTTTTTCAGAACCGCTGATGTTGTTTTCTGTTTAATTGTATCTTTTATTTGTTTTGTAACTTCTGAAGGAGTTGACTTCCGATTTCTGATTCCGATTCCTTTTGAGAAAAAAATAAAAAGTCGACCACTTTCAGACTGCTGCTAGCTAGCCGAGGCTGCTAACAGTCTCCGCCTATATTTGTGGTCTGGGTTATTTGCGTCACGTTCGTGACTAAATTCTAGTATTTGTGCCGTTTCTGGGCTTAATGCTTCATTTCGAGTCAGACCGCTCGTCCTCCACCCTGTTGTTAGCTGTGCATGTCTTTCCTCTTCTTATTTGGTGTTTCCTTTTTGTTTTGCCTCCCTCTGATTTGGCCAGGCGTATTTCGTAGGAGAGAGAGTTTTTCTACACAACGTCTTTTGGACCACCATTTACAGTTTTAAAATTGTGAGTATGGAGTTGACTTTGCGACTTTTGCCGGGGGTAGAGACACTACTGTTCTGTGGTTTCACTTGTTGTTGTGTCTTGCTGGCAGGAGTTGTTACTTTTGATGTATTGTTTCCTGTGTTGTTGTCACTTGGGGAGGCTGCGTTGGTAGTAGGGGTTCTGTGACCATTTTATGTGGTGAATGCGTGCATGCGTCTTTGGTTGGTTGTAGCCCTATCGTTTCTTTGTCTACTGGTTTTGAGGACAGAGATGTAATTGGGTCTCCGTGTTTGTCTGACTGGACATTTATTAGAAACATGCGGTGCGCCTTTCTGGAATTCTGACCGATACTCCATGTTTTTGGTTGATGATGCATTAAGTGTTCCATGTTAGGTAATGTGAAATCTCTTTTGTGAGTCGTCACAGGACAAACCATGTGTCTATCTCTTCTATGGCATGCACTTCTGGGGCTGCATCCCCTATCATCTGCTTGATTGCTTCTTCCACTCCTTCTTTGGTTATCTGACTGGGTACATAGTCCAGGAATATCTCTATCCTTTCTTTTTCTAAATGCCCTATTGTCATACGTAGACCTTCGTCTAAGTCTGTAGTTTTCCCGTGCAGGTTTTCGTGTAAGGTTTTGGGAACCTCCTTTTGCAAAAGGAAAAACCATCTTGTGAGTGCTTTACTTTTGAGTAAATTGTTAGGGCCTCCTGTGGTAATTCGAACTGTTCACAGTGGATAATATGTAGTCTGCTCTAGCTTGGGCAGCTACACCTTTTCCACAGATCGTCTAGACTAAGGTGCCAGTACCATGTAGGTTAAGACACTTGTAGAATTCTTTCACAATATTGACTGTAAATGTTGTCTGCTTAGTGTAAAGGTAAGAAAATAAACTTGATTCACATACAATCTCCCATGTGTTTGCTTACAGAGCTGCTTGATTCAAATATTACCCCTTAAGTGTGTTGATATTCAATAAAGGTGTTAGATTTAAAGATTAACTCCTGCGTTTTTCGATCAGCAAAGACAGATTAGAAGTTCACCAACTGATAGAGGGAAATGCTTGACTAAATTATGCAGAAGTGTATACAGACGGTTCTGTTCATCTGGGTGTGAGATCTGGCTGGGGATTTCGAATTAAGGGGAAAATTGTGGCAGAACAGAACTGAGCTTTGTTGCCTACAACTTCAAGCATGAGAATGGAAGTGCGGGCAATCACTGCAGCTCTGAAGTGGATAGCAGAAAACAGAGTTACCAGAGGAATTAGTGTGCCTCAGTCGACATTAAGGAAGGTTCAAAAAGGAATAATGTGGCAGGAGTGGATACCATGCATCAGTAGGCCAACATTGCAGGGAATCACGTGAATATACTGTCCAGGACATGCGTGAGTAAGAGGGAATAAAAGAGCGAGTTTTCAGGCTACAAAAGCGAAAGCTGCGGGAACACTCGTATTAGACAAGGGAGATATTCTGAAGACCATATATAAACAACTTTTGGCAGAAGACACGACATTAGATGAAATAACATGGGCAAGAATGTGTGAATGAGGGAGTAAGTGTGGATCCGGCAAGGAGGGACAGATGAGAGGAAGAGATCGGCGTGTGTATAATCAGTGTGCTACGGGAACAGTTAGCATCTATACCTTACGTCATTTGCTGCAGGAGAAGGAGCATCCATGGGTATGCCTGGTGTGTTAGGATGTCGATTCTCAAATCAGTAATCAATCAATCTGATTCAATAAATGTCCCTCTACTGTGTTGATATCCCACAGAGTTCTATGATTGACATAATACCGCATTAGTGTCGATTTGCAGCAAAGATTTTTGATTCAAGCAATGTCCTTCTAGTGTTTCAATATCTCTTTGCTTCTGATTTTTTTATATATCTGATACTCCACGAAACTTTACGATGCAAAAAATTATCGTATGTATGTGGACATCAACATAATCATTTGATTTGAAGAATGTCTATTTAGTGTACTTAAATCCTGTAAATTTATTTAATTCAGAAAGTCTCTTTATTGTGTTAATATCCAGCAAAACTACAGGACTCAAATAACGTTTGCACAATGTGATATTGACAAAGCTATCTATATCAAATAAGCACCCTTTCGTGTGTCGATATCCAGTAAATCTTTTTGATTCAAGAATTTTTTTTTTTTTTTTTTTTACTATATCAATATCATACAACGGGATGGCTTTTATTCGAATATCTTTGATGATGAGGTACTAACAGAATACACATTTCTTCAGTGTTTCATGAAGAGATACTATAACGCTCTGTGATCAAAGGGGCTCTCCTTGTAGTTTGGATTATAACAGCATGCAAGGAATTTAAACTACATTTCTAAATCAAGCACAGGCGTACTATTACTGCCATAACTTGAGAAATCAGATAACTCTAATAAACTCAAACAAATTACAAGCGAACCTTTATTTCAACTATACTGGAAAACTATATTTACCATCACAGTAGAAATGTTGCTGCAGTTTGGATTATAACAGCATGCAAGGAATTTAAACTACATTTCTATATCAAGCACAGGCGTACTATTATTGCCATAACTTGAGAAATCAGATTACTACAATAAACTCAAACAAATTACAAGCGAACCTTTATTTCAACTATACTAGAAAACTATATTTACCATCACAGTAGAAATGTTTGTTTTAGTATCCAGAAGCCATGAGTGGTCAAACCCTTAGGCTCGGTATTATGGATATCGCAACCTTTCGGCCTTGACTCCATTGTAAATACCGTAAATCTGGGAGAACTGTGGCTTTTTTTGCCTACCCCCGGGTGTGAACCCGGACCACAAGGAGTTCGTCACCCGGTCACCGCACAATCCGGTTTAGCCAGCTACGCTAGAGAGCCGGGCATCACAGTAGAAAGAAATATAGCGACGTAACACCATAATACACCTAATGAACGAAGCTGTTAGATTTTCATAAACAAAAACAATCATGTAAACACTACTCACCAACTTCGAGACGGAGATTTTGACTTCAATGTTGGCCAGAGATTTTATGAACGGAGTGTTGATTAGGTGAGTTACACCAAACACACCTGGAAATACGTGGTTCTTCAGTATGACTTTTAGTTTCTCTTTACCTTCCTGTTAAGTGTAACATTTGTACTCATTATTGTCAAGTACCTTGCGTCTTGGTAGTGTGTAAGACAGAATAAACACCTGTAAGTATTACCTTCATGTATTTCTTTCTTTCTTTCGTTTCTATGTTTGTAACTTTTTTTCTTCTCCTGTTTACTTCTTTTTATGTTTCTACTTCTCATTCTCCTCATTCGTTCTCTGTTTCTTCTTCTTTGACTAATTCTTCTTCTTCTTGTGTCGTCTGACGCATACCACCTGGCAGCCCAGTGTCTTAGTTTTCTGAATTTGTCTTGCGATTTTCAGGTGGCTTGTGTCATTAATTTTTTTTTTTTTTTTTTAATGGTTGCAGGTTTCAGCTATATCATTCATTCATATTTTTCCTGTTCTTCCCTCGCCTTCCTCCCAGATGATATATAAAAAAAATTTTCATTTGCAGTTTGGTCTGCCAGCATTCTCACTAGATGGTCGAATCATCCCTTCTTTGCCTATCAATATTTTTCAGACATGGTCATATCGCAAATTTCCCATGCTGGTATTCGTAACACTATCCCTTCTTTGCCTATCAATATTTTTTAGACATGGTCATATCGCAAATTTCCCATGCTGGTATTCGTAACACTATCCCTTCTTTGCCTATCAATATTTTTCAGACATGGTCATATCGCAAATTTCCCATGCTGGTATTCGTAACACTATCCCTTCTTTGCCTATCAATATTTTTCAGACATGGTCATATCGCAAATTTCCCATGCTGGTATTCGTAACACTATCCCTTCTTTGCCTATCAATATTTTTCAGACATGGTCATATCGCAAATTTCCCATGCTGGTATTCGTAACACTATCCCTTCTTTGACTATCAATATTTTTCAGACATGGTCATATCGCAAATTTCCCATGCTGGTATTCGTAACACTATCCCTTCTTTGCCTATCAATATTTTTCAGACATGGTCATATCGCAAATTTCCCATGCTGGTATTCGTAACACTATCCCTTCTTGTCATTTGACATGCAGTTATTTTTTGTTCTGGTGCCTTATTCATTGTCCATGTTCGGCACTGAAAACATAGAGCTGGGATGAAGCTGTTATTAATCATCTGCTGTTTTGCTGGAAGGGAAACATTTGGTTGTCTAAGCGGTGGGGCTAACTGGTGGTTGACAGCATTTGCCTACTGTACTTTGGCTTCTTTCTCTTTATCGAGTCTGCCATAATCCATCCTTGTGAGTGTGTGTGTGTATGTATGTGTATATGTGAGTTTATTTGTATGTGTGATTATACATATTTGAATGCTGTGTGTATGTGTAAGTGACATGTGTGTGTGGGTGTGTGTGAATGTGGGTGTGTATATATGTGTGTGTAAGTGGGTGTTGTAAATTCTCTCTTGGGGGTGTTAGATATTGATCGTCTACAAAAAGGAAGTTCGTTGATTCCCCCCCCCCCCCCTCATTATTTATATTTGCCTGGCGTGATGCTGGCTACATCACTCATCTTGTACTGATTGGTCTATAAAATATAGGTCTAGCCCTATATGCCCTATACGCCTGAAGACGTGGAAGAAGGTCCTTTACTTACTTACTATATTTTCCTCCTGTGTAATTCTATCCATGTAAGTAATGCATAGCAATGGTGAGAGTTTTCATCACTGTCTGACACCTGATGAGATGGGAAACCAGTTTCTCATTCTTTTTGCTGTTCTTACTGTGTACTGACTATCTTGATAAAGATCCAAGATTTTATGCAACAGTTGATTTTGAATACCATCATCTTCTAGAATTTTCAGTATTGTGCTTATACTGATTCGATCGGCAGCCTTCTCTTGATCTATAAATATATTTTTAACAACGACAACTACAACAACAAAACTACCGCAGGATGCAAATTCGAATTTTCTGGCCGCTACATCACGGCGGCTCCTATATATGTAATACTGCATTTACAGCTGCATAGTCATAAGCTGTCGCCAGTCACTGCAACAACAACTTTAACAAGTCAACACAACTCACATCATCATTTATCAAGTAGTCTAGAGTTTCCGGAGATAAGGCATCCCAGGCTCCATTCTCAGGTGCAAACACTGTGATGTTAGGTTGCGTGAAAACATCTGTCAGACCTGCAGACTGCATGAGTTATAACCGTTTTGATATTCGTTAAGTGTAGTTAGTAACAAAAAGTACATTATTAAATGGTCCGTTGTCAAGTCATGAAATGCAGCATAAGCATATTTATCTTACAACTATGGTCAGTCCAGGCCGATGTGGTCAGTATTGCGCAAGCCTGAAATGTGAAGTTTATAATTAAGCAGGATTTAACTGACTGGACTTAGACATGCAGCCACGAAGTCCACCGAATCCGACCGTCATAAGTGAAGGAAGCTGATCAGATAGATAGTCAAAAGCTGTTGGTGACCCAACGTCACGCAATGTTACAGGATTCACATAAATAAATAGAGCGGAACTTTTGGAGCCGTAAAACACTAAACACACAGATAATGTATAAATCGGCACTCATAGGAAAAAACGCAATTATTCGCATAAGGCACAGCCAATTCCATGGTAATACGCCACTCGACATTTTCTGAATCTAGTTTACAATAAAATGCACGTTAAAAACAGTCGAAAAGCAGTACAAACGAAATCCATAGCTCACAATATAGATCATTAGCTAGACGGAAATATATTTTTTCACTCCATATATGGAGGAAAATTTAACGATCACAAGCAAAAAATTGCGAAGAATTCCAAAAAAAAAGACAGTAAGCTTTCTTATTCCCTACATTGGACTAGGGTTTAAATGAATGAAAGTTTCCAAATAAAATGAGAAATCCAAATGTTACGAAAGAAGCAACAATACGAAGACAAGTTGACTCATACATTTGGGGGGGGGGGGGGGGCCTAGGGCTACATGTTTCATTTGTAGCCTTATTGGGAGAATTGCAAAACTTTAACAAGAAGTGACAACTAGACAAGTTTTCTAAAAGAGAAATAAACAAAGACAACAAGAGATGATTCTTGATATCCTTTGCTGATAGCGTGGGGGAAATGTCAGCACATGGATTGATATACACTGAGGGACACCTTGAGATGCGGAAAAATATGGTCGCACGTGCTAGTCGGCCAGACACTTGATAATGATGATATATAATTACGTTAGTCAAATACCCCATAATAGCTAGAGCATAACATACTAGCTACGTTCGTATAGAACATCTATGATAATTTCCGATTAGTAAACTGGTCCTTCACAAGCAGAACATAGCCTAACAAATTACGGTAATATCCAGAAACCATGAGTTCTTAACCCCTTGGCTCGGTACTATGGATATCGCAACCCTTCGGCCTTGATTCCATGATAGGTACCGTAAATCTGGGAGAAATGTGGCTTTTCTGCCTACCCCCGGGCGTGAACCCAGACCACAAGGAGTTCGTCACCCGGTCGCCGCGAAGTCAGCCTCAGCCAACTACGCTAGCGAGCCGGGCAACTTATCCTGTATAAGTTACACTATACGTTACACGAATAATTACATTGGTAAGATATCTTAGAAATTAACACGCTAATCTGAGTTCTTAAAGTGGCCCTCGACAACTGAAAGGTACAATATGTAATTATATCTGTTAAGTGTCCCCGAACATAATTTTGTTAATTGCATCCATTAAATGTTTTATGATAATTAGAACATGCTCGTATGTGATTACGTTAATTAAATGTCTCGCAACTAATAGAACATAAAATAAATTACGTTCATTAAATGCCCCACAACGCTAGAGTATAACATAAATTGCTGTCATTAAGTTTTCTATAAACATTAGAACATAATTAGCAGCGTTCAGTATGTGTTCCAAAAACAATGAAGGAAATTATTACGTTGAAGTTTGTTAAGCGTAATTCAACAGTAATCAAAACATGGATGCTGAGTTCATTATGTGTCTCATTTCAATTTGAATATAACATATATAATTTGGTTTAATAAGTATCACATAGTCGGCGTATGTGGCTTAGGCGCTTTGTATGCCGGGGTGCTGGGTTTGATCCCAGGTGCGGGCCCTGCGCCCTGCGTTGGTTTCGACAGTGATATCGAGAGCCGACCGTCTAGGCGGCAATGGCAAACTACTTGATGTAAATTTTCTCTGAAAAACCACAACAACAAAACAAAGCTGGGATTGGTTCTGCAGTGTCCTGTAAAGAGTACGCAACTAATTTTAGTGTCACATAACAGCTAGAACATACAAAACAATTTCTTACCATAATCAAAGACTGAAATCTGTTGTAGGCTCCTTCCAGCCGAATGAGATCCATAGCTGTTTTCTTGTAAAATATAAATATCAAATTAGATATGTCTACTTTAGTTAGTTAGTTAGCCGTTACGGTTCCGGCATCACAGTAAACGAGCTTGGCCCACAATTGCTCAACCGCCTATGCCAGTGATTCCAGTCACAAACTGAGTTAGATACTCTGGATACTTCAAGTGAATGCCGTAGCCCTACAAAGGTCTCTCAGTCCCCAAAAAACGCGATTTGATCTGCAAACCATAAGGTGCGTCCCTCTTTAAACACACAGCGTGACCAAGCGTCATCGCTGAAAATCAACTTCAGTCGACAAATAGCTGGGCGATGAGTAGATTACAACTATTCCTGGCTATTCTTCACATGTCCCTGGCCAAGTTGCAGCCACAGCCAGCAAATAAATAGCAGCTATAGCACACGCTTAGTCCCAAGAACACAACGAAGAAAAATACATCACTAATCATTGCCATTATGTAAGAATCTGGAACTCAGTCAATAACCGATAATCACAGCTCATAGTGCCACCAGGAGCACTAAACTCAGTAGCTCTGGCTGCAAACCGGACTTCCACAATCTTGCCACATCGAAACTGGAGGAGAAACGGCGACGAGAACGGTCAACATAGGCCAAGTTGACGGTTGACCGTCATCCATTCCCTATCAATGTCGGAACCGGAAGTCCTACTTTACAAGTCAAATACAATAGTACCTCGATATACATTCTCGATCCGTTTCTTCTTCTTTTTCTTCGCGTTCACCGGCTATAATAAACTCTTGCAAAAAGTTCTGGTTGTTCGTCTACTTCTGTTCCATAACATAAAATCTGTGTACATATTTATTTTACAAATCTGATTTATTTGTATGCTGACTATTGGTACCTTGCCTCTCACTTCGAAAGAAGCTTCCAATTAGTTGCCTCTTACGACATGTTTTTGGGTAGGCAATAATCGGTTTCAAATCTTTGGAGTTCGCCCAAACAGGACGTATGCCTAATACATTTTCCCATAATAAATAAACATAATAATTAACCCGTTCCCAGCCCCCCCCCCCCCCAAATCCTATTTTTATTGGTAATTTATACATTTACGGAGTTGCGTAAAATAATTTAAACTCTTCTATAGTACTAAATACTTTAAATATAAAAATAATACAATAAATGGTTGGGAACGCGCTTTGTAATGCTAGGATGCCGGGTTCGATCCCAGCTGCGGGCCTTGCGCCTTATCGAGAAGCCGACCGTCCAGGAGCGATGGCAAACTACTGGAGGTAAATTGTGACCATAAAAACGACAACAACTAAAAAAAATGCTGGGATTGGTTCTGCAACGTTCTGTAAAGGATACGCAACTACAAAAACAAAATATGAAACATTGTAAATTGTAATAATATTTATAACGGTTAAGGCTAACACTACTAGAGTGTGTACAATTTAGGTAGAAACGTCATTCTCATTACCATTTTATCGCCTGATATCTCTGGATCCAATGTGAGAAGATTGTTAACGATATGGATCATTCCGTTTGATGCTATAAAGTTCCTGGCTAATACTTTGGCTCTGTCAGATCCACGCTGTAACTTGTATCTGAACAGATCTCGCGCCTGCAAGAAATAAAAACCTTACACAATAGCACGATTTCTGTGTATTTGTATATAATTTGTACACAATTAAGTTAAAAGTGCAGATAACACTTGCATACAGCGCTCTATAAATTTGTGTGCAATGTTGCATTTAAGAAAATGAATACGAGGTAAGATATCTTTCTGCAGCTTCTTCCCATCCTTCTCAACAATCTTTTCTTCTTCTTTTTCTTCTTGTTCTTCTTCTTATTATTACTATTATTATTATCATTATTATTATTATTATTATTACTATTATCTTCTTCTCTTCTTCTTTTTCTTCTTCTTCTTCTTCTTCTTCTTCTTCTTCTTCTTCTTCTTCTTCTTCTTCTTCTTCTTCTTCTTCTTCTTCTTCTTCTTTTTCTTCTTTTTATTTTTCTTCTTTTATCTACTGCCACCATCACTGCTACTACTACTGCTGCTGCTACTACTATTATTTCTAGTACTACTACTACTACTATTAAGAAGACTACGACTACTGCTACTACTACTGCTGCTGCTACTACTATTATTTCTAGTACTACTACTACTACTACTATTAAGAAGACTACGACTACTGCTACTACTTCTACAAATTCGACTACAACTACACTTACTATTTCTATATTACTGCTATTACTGCTGCTGCTGGTGGTGGTGCTGCTGGTGCTACTACTGCTACTACTATTTTTATCAGTATGCGTTAAAAGTTTTTGACTAACGTCGCAAGGATGAAAATCAAGCAAGTACAATTTTGAAAACTCCGTCAAACTGTATAGCCATATAGCACTGTTATACTGTGCATCCAGTAGTGTCCAGGGATATTAAACGAACGCTGAACACTGAACGCAGGTGCGAGACGGACTTACAATCAGACCGTTACTGATACCGCAAGAATTAGAACTCTTCGCTTGCTGCTGAAGATGGAGACAGAGCGCTTATTAAAATGTACAGAGTGACATGATGTCTGTTCTTAACAAAAACTTAACTCATAACTCATGGATAGATTTGTACACCACAAAAATGTTTACGAAGAAACATGTAGTACTGTATAAGATGAAACAAATTATTAATAATTATCCTTTATTGTACTTTACTCAAAAACTCACCACTCGAACACTCAGCAAGGCTGCGTTCCCTTGGAGTGTGTAAAATGTGTCAAACTCCTGCAGATCCTCTAATCTGAACTGACCAATCAGGATGTGCTGGCGCATAATCTGCATAGCGCGGTCTTCATCTTCGAGGAACTTATCAAATCCTTTGTTCTCTCTGACTACATCTCTGTTTAAAATGGTCATGAAAATTTAGAATCATAAATGAGTGCATTAAAATGATAATCATCAAATAATGTATGAAAAATAACTTTGAGAAACGAGAATAATTATTAAGTTGATGCATACAAATGACCACAAGAAATGAAAATCCTAATTAAGTAGATTATAAACATGAGAAATGATAATTATAGTGTAGTCTTATTTTTCTTCACTTCCTCTTGTGCCGCTTCGGGTGTTGAGAGGGATATAAGTTCCGGTTCTTGTTCTGACCACTTCGACAATCCCTTGATGTTATCTTTCTGACCACTTCGACAATCCCTTGATGTTATCTTTCTGACCACTTCGAAAATCCTTTGATGTTATCTTTCTGTATTGTTCTTGGTCTAGCTCTTTCTCTACGTTATCCATCTCGTTTGACGTATGCGTTATGGGCGCATAACTTAGCAGATGAAAACAAACATTGGAGGGCAAATTTAGTAGACGAATATTAACTTGAGAAAAGAGAATCAAAGCTTAGCCCATTAATATAGCCAGGAGGAATCATGAGTAATGAGAATCATAATTTAACTGATGATTATAAACATAGTGAAGGAAGGAGAATGATAATTTGGTTGATGATTAGAAACATTGGTAATGAGAATCATAATTTAACAGATTAATGTAAACACAAAGAATGAAAATAAAAATTGGGTAGATTAAAATAAACATGAAAAACGAAAAACATAACGACAATACACTTAAAAAAAAAAAAACTAGTTAAATTAGAATCATAATTTAGCAGATGATTAAAACATGAGAAATAAAGTGAGAAAAAAACATTAATAGATTAAATTAATTTGTGAGACATGTTAGACATAATTTTACAGGAAATTAACACACTGAAATATTGAAATTTATTCCTAATGTCAAAATCGATTAAGATTTCCAATCTTCGTCATTTCAAATTTATGAAATCCCATGCTTTATCTGACAACAGCTCTGACAGATAAACATAACCATTTGAAATGGCAATAATAGTTCAAAAGATTATTATAACAACGAGAAATGAAAATCATAAATTAACTCTAAATTACCATTAAAAACTGCTTTTATTGCCTGAATTTACTACTTTCGTGGTGTAGGCGGGAGGGAAAAGGGCTATTTGAGCCTGAGGGTGTAGGGCCGCATGGCTAGTGTTGTCGCCACAGACTGTGCAGGTTAGGATTTTATTTTTGCCTCTGATTGAAAATTTTTGAGGTTTTGAACAACGGATCAACATCATAGCACACGGTTAGTAGTCCATAAGTTTGGCTACTCTTTTCGGTTTCCAACTGCCAAGGATTTTTCTATGTGATCAACAATGCACACGGGCTTTCCATCTCACTACCCAGAGACCAGGGAGAATTACTAGAAGCCCAAATCCACGTGAAAAAAATCCCAGCCCTTACCGGGGATTGAACTCGGAACCTCTAGCACTCGAGGCGGACACCCTGCCTCGAGACCAGGCAGCCTTCCTCGACTGGAAACAAAGAAGATATGAACCCGAGTCTCTCGCATGGGAATAAATTAACAATTGCAAACGTTTAAATTGAATTCCTTCAGTATGTAAAACTCTTAGGAGATAAACAGTCTAACCCACTGGTGTGTTTTTATTTTTGACCTTTATCCTCAGCTAGAGCCTAGAACCTTATTAAAGTCACGTCAAATCGTCTGTTCCATTTCTATGGCATGTAGCTCACCACATGTTTCTCCCCATCATTCAAACCTCACTCTCTAAGTGAGCGACGTACAACCATATCAGGACCGTACAACAAGCGATAAACACCCGGTGGCACAAAGTGCCACCATCTGGACGAGAAACACCCGGACACAAGTCCCAGAAACCCCGTTTAACTGTTGGGTTATATCAAGGTCACCAACGACAGCCGTGGTGAGGCTTTCAAAGAACAACAAAAAAGCAAAAAGATACGCCTCGCATGGGGTGGGGGTAGGGATGTTTGTAAATACCTCGCTCACAAGTTCTTGTATGTCTACGCTCCGTTGGATTCTAAAGCAGAGTTCTAGCTATATTGTTTTAATTATTTCTCAACATGTGACCTTTTTAACGCCATCTCTTGATTCACGTGAATTTGGTCATTTCCCAGGGCACATTACTAATCCTATCACACAACGAGTCATAGAATGTTTATAATTTAATAGCTATTGTCTTAGTTGTTTGTTCTTCAAAAACAGCACTGATCTGACTCGTGACTACACTGTGGTTGTTTTATTGAGGGTGTAATCAAATGTATAAAAAGGTTACCTGAAGGCCTTGTCGTTGGGCACAAACAGCGTGAAGGGACCATGCTTAGTGAGTGGCTCGGAATAATATTTGCTGAACAAGTTTATGGCATACAGGAGATCTTGTCTGAACCTGGGGTTGTTGTTGTTGATGTCTTTCAGTCTCTGGTTTGTAAAAACAATGGAACAATTGACTGGTTTATAAGTGCAGAAGACTGTACATTTAAGATGTGTTGACGTAAACTATGACAGGACTTGAAAAACATGTGCATGTTGCTGGCGAGATATCCTCATAGAGACAAACCTGTCACTTGTAGATACTAAAATGAGACTTCTTCTCTTCTTTGCGTTCGGTTTCGTATGCTCAGATCAGACCATCAGGTGGGTTGCCTCTATGAACTCGCATGTCAGTAGCAGATCCCCCATAGCTTGCTCTGCACACTTTGCTCTCGAGGCCTTGTGTCTTTACGAAGTTGTTGGTAGAGTGGTCAGATCTGCAGAGTGTGCTCAGGTGTTTGTGGTCCTGTTTGACAGGCACACTGTGGGTACTGTACAACCTTTATTTTTTGCATGTGATAAGTGAGCCTGCAGTTCGTAGATGGAAAATTGTTGTATGTTGCTTTCTGTTGAGTCTGCTGATGGGGTCTTGTGGATGCTTACTGTTATTTTGTTATCTCCACAATTCCTTTTATTTTCGTTTGATATGTGTTCCGATTTCTGGTAATGACAACAAATGTCTGTCTGCTTACTCATTTCCCGGTATGCCGCAGTGAGACAGAAGAATAAAAATGAATATAAAGAAAGAAGAACAAGGAGGCGGTCGAGCAAGAAGAAATAAGAAGAAAAAGGGGGAGGGGGCAAGAGGGAGACAACAATGAGAAAAATAATGTGGAAGGGATGAAAAGGAGTAAAACAAATGATCATTACATTTAGGAGATGTTGAGGTGTCGGCGTCTGTGGCTGAGGCGTTACGAACTCGCTTTGTAATGCCGGGGTTCCGGGTTCGATCCCAGCTGTGGGCCTTGCGCCTTGCATTGGTTCCGACAGTGGTATCGAGAAGTCGACCGTCCAGAAAGCAATGGCAAACTGCTGGAAGTAAAATTGCTGAGGAAAACCACAACAGCCAAGAAATGCTGGGGTTGGTTTTGCAACTTCCTGTAAAGGATACGCAAGTAACCCTAGATGTTGAGGAAGCCTCGGAGATGTGGTTTTACAGAAGAGTCCTTGGAATTCTTGGTAAAGCTGGGAAGAGCAACCTTCCTAGTCCAGCTGCCAGCCAAGGCTAAGCACCTGGTATGTGTTGCATTAATATAGTTTTGGGGGAGGCGAGTGCTCAAGGGCAGCTTGTCTGTCGTGGAATGATAAGCCATTACGCATCACCCCTAAAATAGTCGAGACCTGTATTACCTGTGCTCGACACAACATTCAAACTTGGACTCGTCCGGGATGGTATATAGTCCCTTATTTCGA